AATCAGCACCAATTAATAATGCATTTTCGTATTTGCCAAATTCGTCGTTCTCGTCCATTTTCGTCCATTTTCGTCCATTTCCGAGGTACTGCATAAGTAATAGAAACTTACAGAGAAACGTCGCTGTATTTGCGACAGTGTACTGTGTACAGACACATAACCTCTACCGAGAAACGCAAATCCACCATTGATAGAGACGTTGCTGCTGGAATCGACGTCTCGCGTATCGGCACATTGCACGTTCCACGATGGACATACATTTGGATTACAAAACGAGCCGCGATTTATTTTCAGATCTTATCGAATATCTCATCTTGGATGAAAATGTACTAAGAAAATTTGTTTCCAACATAGTATTATAGAACAGTGGTTCTCAAACTCGTTAAATAGCATACCCCTTTAAAAAAAGAATTTCTGTGTCCAAGATTTTAAATGAAATAAGGCAAATGTGTTGTAGTTGTTAAATTTCAGGGATCAATGTATCATATAACAAGAGATGTGTAAATCCTCTGGATTTTTCTATATTAGATTTTTTTTTTAAACAGTCCTTTACTTTGAAAAACATCACTATAATCCATTCAGATTACCAATAAAACATTTTTTTGTTTCATCGCGATTGGAGATAATTATTAGGTAATTTGTTCGAAGGGAGACATTCTACAGAAGATGAAATTAACCAACTGCAAACTAGAAAGCATAAGAAATCTAATTTCATCGCTGGCCAAAGATAACATGGTAAAAGTTCTCGCCAATAAAATCCGTATTCCAGTTAAAAGCCTTTTACCTCCGATAGTATTGTATTATAGTAATATAAAATTCTCTTAAATAAATTGGAGCTGATGGCATACCTTATATCAAATAGGATAATTATAAAATAAAAATATTTGTGATACAATAGAAAAATAAAACAAATTAGTCTTTAATTGCCATGTGTACGTAAACTTTACATACTAAATATCAACGGAAGGAGATTTAAATTTGTTTCTTTGAGAAAAGAATTTTGAAAAGAATACTTTTCGAGTTGTTGTGCGCAAATTAATTCAACTGCTAGCGTATAGTAGCACCAGTAATCAGGGTTAAAGCTCGGTATTCGCTATCCGAGGTCACGGTAGCAAATTGTATTAAACAAACCGAAGACATCGCATGGAAGCGAAAATCGGTTGACAGATACGTGTTTATCGGGGGATCGAGAACGATATTGCCCACGTTACGGACAGACCGCGTAAAAATAGAAACGGCACGTACCAGAAGAACGAAATCCTCTTCCGTCTGTGATTTTTCCATGAGCGTAGCACATGTCGCGTGATCGCACGATGAAAGTGATTTTACCCCTGCTCGCGAGCTACTTACTATTTAGAACGCGTTTCGGACCGACGTGGAAACGGTACGTGCGCGAGAATCAGACCCTCGTCGAAGCAGCTGACACTCGATCCATTTCCTCTCTTTTCCTATTCCAGTGTCCGTTTCCGCCACTTTCGTCGCTAAGACTTTTATCGGTCTTTCAACGTTTACGAGAGAAGTTCAGGAAACGATAGTCTCCCTCGATAAAACATATTCCGCCTGCTCTTTAAATTATACGTTTCGACCCTTTCCCCCTTTAGCGAGCAATTCGTTTAGAGCCAACAATTTCCATCCTTTCGTCCGTAGGGTCCGAGCTGTAAAACATGCTTCACGATTTAATGCTTTTCAGCCAGTTTCCTCGTCCTTCCTAGTCGCATTTTTCGCAACATTTCCTCGACAGCTGAGAGCCCATCGTTGGAATCCAGTTTTTTGCAGTAAGGTGTTTTTCGCGACTTGCGAAATATTTATTATTATGTGGTTGGATATTTTCGCGAAGGAGCGTTCGATTTGTAACTGCTCTTGGTGTTCTCCATTCAAGTGGTATTCCATTTGTAAGAAATGAATCGAATGACCGGTCGCTCAAAAACGTCTGACAACCTACTGCCTCAATTATGAAAAGGATCTTTCCAGTTCTTTGGTTACTTTTTTCCCCATAGCGCGATCCGTTGAGAAGAACAAGTTACACGGATGAACAATAGTTTATTCCACCGAGGAATCGACCGTGCTTACTTGCTTCCTGGTCATCGTCGACGAGACTCCATCAATTTTCCGGATACCGTGTAAATGACAACGAGGTATGTCGCAGGCTACTACGGAAAGTAACTAGCGCCACGTCTGTTTCTCCTCTGAAGTAATCGTTAATCTTCGGATGATAGCTCTCGACAGTGGTTAATAGGAGAACTCGTGCAGCTAAACCAGACAGTTACCAAGTTAATATGCAGGGTTGAGCATAATTGAAACACCTGTGAAATTCGCAGTATTGTTTTATCAACATAGTGTTAGGCCATCCATTGCCTTTAATGCAGCTCCCATTCTTCTTGAAATAGATGAATACTTTTCAACCAAATATTATCCCATTCTTCCGTCAATACATCTTCGAATGTGTCTCTTGAAAATTGCCGTAGAAGTTCGATGACATTTAAATCTGGAAATGGTGTTCATCACGAATGTCAATTCGTTATTCTTCGAATCAAGATATATAATATAGATCCGATCATTTAGAAATATTCTAGCACTCGTTGGCAATACCACGATCATTCAAGGTAAGAACGGATTCCATGTTAACATTTGGAAGCAGACAATCCCAGTTGTAGACTAGAGTTGGACGGTTATTCGAGTACTCGTCCTCGATGAATTGTGTGACGATAAGAAAACTAGTTACTATGGCAGAGGAGAAAAGATAATGTTTGTTCCTGGTCTTCAGATCTACAAGGTTATAGGCTTTAAAGTCTCGGACTTTTGAACGCTATGTACGGAACTTTAATCGTAGGTGTTCACGTTACATCATTTACCTCGTGTATATATTTCTATCGGGAATTTGGCAGAGAGTAGACGAATGCCCGCAAGTTTACGGAACCCTGGTTCACAGGACCTCGGATGTCCAGATGTAACTTCTACTGACCCACCGCGCTGGAAGTAATTCCCTTTCAACGCGAAACTCGACTCCTCGAGGGCACGACCCGTTATCTTTCTCTGCTTACAGCGATCGCTCGAGGGACGTACCGGAAGGAACCGTCCTTTTGCCGCGGCAGGGTTCGCAAGCTTCTTTCTCCTTGTTTCCAGTTCGCTTGCGATGCGCGATGCACTCTCCGATGGAGTGCATAGAGAACGGTGACAGTTCTTTTCGACGTTGGCGCTCCTCTCGCCACTTTCTGGACAAACGATAAAGCCGAGAACTCGAGCAAACGGTTGGAGCTATCTGTTTTCCCGTGAGTGGTCTTGATGTCAGACAAAGTGATGTGCTTAACGCTGGACTCGATTCGACGTTCTCCTCTTCGGCAAGTAAATAGCCTTCTTCAAACCGAAACAAGAAAAGCTCTTCTTTGTCCCTAAATTGGACGATTTACTTTTGGTTATCGCTGATTGTAAATTACGTTAGACCGTCGAATTTAAAGACTAGAGTTGAAGAACAAGGCACTCGGACGGTCGAGTTGACTGCTGTTTTTCGAGTGATCGTCGTCGAATTTTAAAACTAGCTTGAGAAACCAAGCACTCGGGTATTTGGGTTAACGTTGGCAGTGTCGGCTGTATTTTGCGTCGTTGCGATGAGATCTTCGATAAACGAAAGACGAGTCTATCTCAATTCTGCGAATCTGGAAGTACGGAATTTCTTTGGAGATAGAGGGATAGACTAGCAGTCTTCGGGGAAACTTATATTTCTTTCAAGAAATGATTCCGGTGTCAATAGTATGTAGACATAGTTTTGCATGCAATCACCTATCTATCAGTTCCTTGTCACACCGTCGCTCTCCACTTTTCGATTATCCCACATCGAGCGTGCTCCTCACTCGACGACTGCATAAGCAATCGAGGAATTGGAAAACGCCTTCTGCATCCGACTTTTTCTATTACTTGTGTTTCATCCGCTCTCTAGGAAAAGTATCGATTCTTTGCCGAAGAAGGTGGAAGATTCGTCCGGGCGTCGGCAGCCTCGCCTCCGAACAACATTGTTATCAACGTCATCTTTATTTCACGAAGCTGTGCCTGACTAGTCGAAAGGTGTTTCCGAGCCGAAAGAGGGATAGAATGAATTCTCTTCGCGTTTCTATCTGCTCGTTGCCTCTTTTCATCCTTTCCATTCTGAACCGCTTTCAGAGATTTTCGCCACTCCAACTTCCTCCCCCGGATCCTCCTTTCAATGGCCAACATTTTTGCTCCGTTCTTCCAACGTTTGCTCGCCGCTGCACGGGACACTCGTTGCAGAAAAGGCTCCACTTTTGCCGCGGGACAAGATGGAGTGTTCATTGTAACGATACGAACTTCGTTTGTCGTATTTATTTGGCTTGTAAGAGTTCCGTGATTGTCGACTTGTGTACGTCGCCTGAGAACAAAGCTACTCACGGGAGCACGGATCTTGTATTTGAAACGTTGTCACGGTTTCCTTTTACCCGGAAGCCAAGTGTTCTCGCTTATCGCAGCCTCGCACTCGAAACATCCGTCTTGCGAAACATGTTATTCTCTTACGCGTGAAATGGAACTATTTTAAGGAGATGCATCTTGCTTGTAGTTTCTTCTGTTACTCCTGTTCTTTTCTTTTTCTTTCTTTTTTTTTATAATTTCAATGAACTGAATTGATATCACTGTGATTGCCTTTTCGCAAATCTGTACTTGTTTCGATCGTTTACGTTTTGACGTACATAGACCATAGAGAGTGACTACTCAAAAGAATCTACCAAATCCAAATAATCGTAGTAGTCGAATTGCAGAGTTGATCTTGAACAATGACACTTTGAAGTCGAACATCTCTAGTCGTCTGCGATCGCCCCCCCCCCCCTCGCCCCCCCCCCCAAAAAAAGAAAGCATCAGCGGAGAAATCACTGTCCATCTCCACCTCTTGTATTTCGAGATTCCGACCCACAAATCCATAATGCGATTTTGCATTTTCCAAAGAAAGGGAAGATTCAGCTTTTCACGATGGTTCAAGTTCTTCCGATCGACGGATGCATTCCGCGTTCGTTTTTCCTCGTGGTGACATTTTTTTGCACGATGTCTCGGAGATAAGGGTTTCATCTTCGATTCCGATTCTTCGAATGGTGGAAAGAATGGATGATGTTGGTCGTTGTAATAGGTAACAGTCCGCTTGCGATGTTCAATTTCAAGATGTGAGGAATATTTCTAGTTTCCTTCTAATAACGAAGACGAATGTAAATGTCCTAAGAACTTGAAGATAACTATGATCGCTAATGATGGTCTTGCATGGAAGATATCTTGTCTATGTAACGCTATCTTTTGAGATGGTTTTATCTTCCATGACGCGCAGTATATTTCTCCGTGCTTTTTTAATATTTCTATGGCGTCTTTTGCGAACAATACTTGAATTCAAATAATTACCTGGTAAATAAAATCTTAATGCAACCAAAGCACAACACTTGGATATCTGCTAAGCTGGTGTCAATTTCATCTCTGCGTTCTCCAGGTTTACTCTCGACACTTATCCATTTCCTGCTTGAACGTCATCTTTTTCTAACCAGGAATCCAGATCGGTTTCATCGATCCAGGCATCGACCGACCAACTAACGGTCGAACGAACACGTACCAGGTCTAGCTCGTGGCATCTAATTGCTTGATTAAGCTCGTCTCGGTGTCTGGAAGCAACGTTCTCCCCTTTGTTTTCCTCGCGCAAGCCAAGTTTCGTGTCAAAGAGAAACACTTCCCGCACGAGTGCAGAGAGAAACTTCTGTAGGGGTGAAACGTGCGTGGCGAAACTTTCTTCTCCGCTCGCAGTGTCGTTGCTTTGATCCCGTTCTTCCTTGGTTTTACCTTGCTCTCTCAACTTCTTCTCCGTCTCTGTCCTCTATTTCCTTCTCCGTGCCTCTCGATACTCGACAGTCCGCTCGCGCGTGTGCCCATTTCTCTTCTTGGTTTTCTCATCGAAAGTAAGAAAAAAAAAGATATATATATGTACTTTGGCGAATCGGAAGCGGAGAACGAACGGAGGGCCCCGGGTTTTCAGCACGGCGCTCGTTGTGCACGGAAATCGTCCCCTTTTTCCGGCCGCGAGTGGTGCTTAACCACTTACGTGAAGTACCTTGCGAGGACCACCAACACGAGGACTATTGTCTCCACCCTGAAGATGCTGGCGCCGCTGCCGATTGCGCACACCTCCTCGGTGTAGGGTTCGCAAGACGCCTGCAATCAAATCACACGCAAACACTCTGGTTAATTATGGTTCGACTCGATTACGTACGAGGTAAACATTTGAGAATTCGTAAATCGTGACTCTTACTTCTTGCGTGTACGGAAAATTCCTAAATTTATTTAATTCGATAACATTGACGACCATGCAAATATATAATTACTTGCAATAGTATTGATTATTAATTATGATTCGGCTCGATTATGTCTAAAGTAAGAACTTAAGTATTCGTAATTTCGTACTGGACTGCACACATGTATAGGAAATTACTAAATTAGTTTTATCCGATAGTACCAGTGAGCATGCAAAAATACAGTTACTTGTGATAAATACTTGTAATGATATAATTCACTTTAATATGGATGTTTATACGTTATTTTAAATGAAGATGTGAACTGTTTATTTTTAAAAATTCGAAAATCCACCCAGCTCATGTAGAATTTAATTCTTATACAGGGTGTTTCCTACTTTTCTGGCAAGATTGCAGGAGCATGATCTACAAGTGAAAACAAGAAAAATATGTTACATGAAGTTTGTTAATAAACGCTTTGGTACGATATTAGAAGACAGTATTGAATGTGTGTGCGTTTATAAACAAACTTCATATAACACTTTTTTCTTGTTTGCACTTGTAGATCATGCTCCTACAATCTTGTCGGAAAAGTAGGAAACACCCTGTAGAAACCAATAATCTTAGAGAGCGTTTAAATGATGTTTATAATGTTAAAGTTTTCGAATGTTAAAGTTCGACTTTAATATTGTTGTGCAATAGTAATTTAAATTAAAATTGATAACGTCTTTTAAATCTTCGGTGATATATATATATACAAATTTGTGACCACAACGTCAAAAATAAAAAGTATATCGTCGCCCTCGTGTGTATGGCAGATAGAGTACGCCTTTATGAGTTTTATGGTAGTATACTTCATGACACGAGTTTCGAACAACTCCAGGGATGCTCTGACGTAACATGACCGGACGTATCTCAAAGCGGTAACAACAGTCTCTCCCCAACCAGGGGTGGCAAATATTTACCCTCAAAAGCGAGTTCGACATTCTGTCAAGGAACTCCTTTGTAAACTGAGCCGAGTCATCGCCGCATTCTCGACGAACCGTATGATGCGAGCACTCCACATATTCCTTGAAGCCACTGAAACAAACACATTAAACCGTTTTCATTGCGTTGGATTATCAACATGGATTTTCTTCGTGTCAAATTCATTCAAAATTTCAGTCACGTGCCTTGCAAACATTCGCGATCGAACACTGAATTTTATACGAATATTCATGTTTCTTTTGCACGTAAGAATTGTAATTATATTTTAGTTTAATAGATGTTCATGTATGTTCACTTCCACATATGCGTAGTCAAAATATTTAACAATAATTATGATAATAATAATACCAAATAGAACAACTTATAAATCTGCAGAGGAATCTATATGTAATATTCATTGACGCTATGTAAATAATTGTATATAATCGTTTTCGATCACTTTACTGTCACATTGATATGAAAACATTAAAGACATATACATACAGAGCAAAATACATCTCTGCTTGTGTAACGCAAGAGAACAAAATAATGGGATACGAATGTTATTTACGATAAATATTAAAACTTGTTTTATTATTCTTATTATGATCTTTTTGTGTCTCGCTGTATATTCAAAAAGTTATTCGTAATTTTTGTTACATATTTTCTTAATAATTTTCCACATTTGAGGATAAGCGAAAGAATAGTCGAAAATTGATGTTACTCGAATCATTCGAAAGATCTACAAAACGTATCTCTTACTTTGGAATACTTAATACGAGTTTAGAAATTTCATGAAAGATAAATACAGTAAACAATTTTTAACATACTAAATAGCCACGTATGTATCTGCCAAGTACCAACACCAAAAACGAAAAGATTGCACAAAGACTTCTCACGTTCAAAACTTTCTTCTTGTTTATTTTTCATCGCTTTTGTTTGTTACCAATTCATAAACAATTTGCGCTGCATGGTACAAAGTGTCAAGACATCTTCCTACAAACTCGTGTAACTAATGTAATTTCTTAAATTTTGATTTCATGATTGAAGAATATATTTTCATATTAAAACTTAATATGCGTTTAAGAAGAAATTGAATTTTTGACAAAGAATACGACTCCTCCCATTCATACAACAATATTTCTTTGGCGTTTATATTTTCATTCCCATCTGGGACCATCGATTACGCGAACGGATGCGTCGCGAAAGCTGAAGAAACATAAACAGAGATTCTACTTTATCCAGCTGAGGAAAATCATTTCATATAGGCAAACGCTATTGCACGCAGACAGCGTATACATCGAGGTTCATCGGAGGTTCCCTCGCGGATTTAGTCGAAACATGAATGAAACCTGCGGGCAAACCCCTAGTAAACCTCCGTTGTAGTCCTCTTGAGACTTTCGCTATGGTTTACCAACGCATATATGTACTCAACGTAGACCGTCGCTATGAACTTGCTGCCAACCACAACACATGTTACTACTGGCGGAGTTTCAACCACACACAGCGTCGAGCGTCACGCTTCTCAGCGCTCAAAGGGTTAACCGCATGCTTTTCTTTGGGTAAGTTATCCAGATTTTCAAATAGATGGTAATTTATGGGGGAGAGATCCGATAAATTAATTGGATTAGAAGGGTATACGCGTCTAGGAAAATCCAAAGCAGGCCAATATTTGCAACTTGATTCAGACTTGATGATTAAATTTAGAAAATCAGAATTTTTTAAGTTTAAAAATACGTCTTTTAAGAATAATTTGATAGTTTGTTTATTAAAAAATGTTTACAAAAGACTGAGATATAGGCATTAGTAACATTCCATGTTTAAACTGTTCTAGGCCAGGTGCAATTTTCTACAGCATTCAATTAAAATTAAAAACTATGGGATGATAAAATAAATAATGAGATTATGTTGTCTTCGCAGGAGTGCATATGCCACCTTAACAGTTTCAACAATTATTTAAAATTTCAAACATCGTTTTTTAAACATTAATGATTGATCATCGCCAATTATTGGTCGTTTTTCAAATTGACCAACAGAAAAAAAATCTAATCTAGGTATTAATATTAGAATGAAAAGCGTTGCAAAGCGTTTACTATGACGTTAATTACATTTCTAATTATTTGCTTTGGATGATTAAAAATTGACAGAAATCAAACACTTTTCATGTATGAAATACAACTCTTATAATTTGTATAATTTCTCTACACGATACTATCCAAATATATGATTAGTCTTGTAATTACTAAAGTATCGTAACAAAATTGCAAATAAAACGATACAATCTCCTAAAAAATGAATAAAATAAACCACCCATAAACCACCCCAGTCGTAGAAATCTAACTTGGGTTATGTATGTAATTACTAATTAATTTTAGCCCCTTCCATTTTCTCAAAATTAAAATTAAAATCACGAGTTAATCATTATTTTTTAAAAGAATATATTTAATGTTATTCTAGATGAAGATGTATCAGACTATAAAATTAGAAATTAATTTTAGGATTTCACTTTTCCACAAAACTAAGAATAGAACAAGTTACCGATTATTTTCTTAGATATTATTAAATGCTATTTTAGATAACAATGTTGTAATGTTGTATTGTGGAACGCACCTACATCTACAATAAAACTATGACAAACAAATTAACACTTAAAAAATCATTACTCCTTTTTTCTTTAATCATAGATTGAACACTACTCTTTTCCATTTCAATATTCCGTAAATAGCATATTTACTTTTCATTAACTAAAATGTAGTCAATATACATATATAAAGCAGTGTCATATTATGAATTCCATAAAGGACCTACTAAAATTTTAAGGAACTAAATTATGAACCTCCCGAAATGCTTAACAATAAATATCGAAAATTCTTAACTCTGCAATTACAAAGGTCGCAAACACGGATCCCTTTTTATTCCGAAGATTCCTTTCAGAAATATTTCTGGATACAAAGAATTTCGAAGGGTCGCATCTTAAACGTGGCATTCGTGTATGTGAAAAATCCAAGTAGAATGAATTTTACGATTTTCAAAAGCATGAAAAGACGTCCGTGCGTGGTTTCAGTAATACGAACGGAATTATTCCGCGCGAAATATTATTCGCAGAGAAAAAACGCAGCTCTGACGGAAACGTGTCTGGCCTTTAATTAGAAGTATTTGCCAGACTTCGTTAGACATTTCAACGAAACTGCGTAACATTTTTGTTGCAAAGCCAAAAATTTAATCAAAAAGGGTAATTAATATTCATATACTACTTTTTGTTTCAACTGCGGCTATTGTAAAGGGAGCGAAAGAATTTAACGATCGCTCGTTACGCGAATATGGCGAATAGACCAATTTCCCTGTTAAAGTTTCAAATTGAGACGAACTTGTGCGTAAAGGATAGAAAGTGGACTGATTCGAAGACGGATTTACACGCTGTCGGCATAATACATCAAGGGTCCGCAGTGCCATAAATCGACGTCACAATGAGACACACGTAATTCCACCTTCCCTTGGAATAAAACTTGGAATACCGGGCATTCGCCATTTATCAAACCGTAACAGATTGAACAGGGTGGATTCTATTGTTTAAACAGTGCCGTACAGCGAGAAGATCCTGTATATTAAAAAACAATTTTACAACCACAGAGATGAAGGGATGATTTTTGCTTGCGAAATTTATGCACATACAAACATGATTTTCTGTTTTAAAATTCATTTTTCTTCTTAGAAATACGAAAAGTTAAACAATCTTTAAATTCCTGTCGATTAAACAATATCTTTACAAAGAATAAGATAGATAAACAATATTAAAAGTCGTATATTCGTAAAAATTAACGCTTGGCGTGTGTTTGCTTTACTCCCCAATATTTTCATTTATAACTAAATATTTGCAAACGTGATCTGTATTTATGTTTAAACGGAATAGAAAAATAAAATACAACTAAAATGAAAGAATAAATCGGTTTAGAGAAGACAATCAATGTGTTTAATGTGTAAAGTCTATTCAAACACACATGGAATCAAACGAAACAAAACAGACAAATTCACACAGAGGACATTTGTTAAGTAATATAATAGCCCCAACAATCCATATTCATGTATACATTCATGTCGAAGTTTTCATATTAAATTTCACCATTTTCTGATAAATCAATCATGAGATATAAAGCAAGACAGAGATCAACATAAACACAGAATTTTATCATTGTTATTTTTCCATTTTTAGATTCAAAATACTTCGAACCATCACCATAAATTTTGATCAACAACAGTATTTTCCCTCCGTTATATTCAATAACAGTCGGGAAAGTAAAACTGTTAAAAAATAAAAGAGATGGCCTGCTAAAAAGCCGCAATGAAAAACAAGCGATGGCAAACAAACGGTACTGGGGATCGATATGCAAAAAGGAAAAATGAAGATGAAGAACGATAGAAAAATAATGTTCTACCCGCGCTTACTCTCATTGGATAGACGCGTACCGTCGGTGTTCTCCTATCTTTTTTATCGTGTTTGTTTTCTGACGAACCCGCGTAAACACAAAACGGTGGAGGAGGCTTTTCACGCTGATGCTTGAACAGAGAGCGTAATGTCATTAGCTTATCTCCGCCACGGTCTGTTGCAGCTTTTGAAATCGTGAACCACCCGGTAGGAAAGGAACCGAAGCATCAGGCAAGAAAAAAAAAGAGACGGAAAAGAACGGAAACGGAACCATAGAGTAAACAATGATGACCCCGAAGAGGACCAAGTGAATAACAAACAAGAACAAAAATGGAGGAACAAACATACAGGGAAGAAATCAAATTAGACAAAATTAAATAGATAGATAAATAGATAGACAGTACATGGATATAGCGACGATCAGCTACTTAACGCCAAGTAACGGTTTCGATAATAAAATCGATCGACTGACAAGTTGCAAAATTGATTTCTCAAGTGTGAAATTAATAATTAATCCTTTGCACTCGGATATCCCCTCTGAGGGGACATCGTTGGTCCAGCAAACTTAATTAGTGATTAAAGAAGATAAATTTTCACGAACGCAAATTTTTCATAAATGTATAGTTTTATAAAGATTTATATTTAAATAGCACGAAAAAAAAAGATTAAAATATGGTGTACATATACATATATGGTTTATGCTACGATATATAACATAATAGGAGCCGATGTTAAGTAAAAAGAGAATCTGTGAAGAGTCCAAATTAAAAAAAAATAAAAAGAGCATTTGTATAACTAATGTACAACTTGTTGGCAACAGAAAACACATAAAGAAATGTAATTGATAAATAAACCTATAAGTCTAAAATAAACCTATAAATCTACCCCATTTTGAGACAGCGCGTCGATCGCGGCGCGATGATTCGAGGGTTGAGAATGAGTTATCATGTAACCTGTAGATCGAACACAATTGACGTGAATCGCAATTCGTTAAATGATATAGGTCGTCTCGTTGTTCGAAAACGGACAATAATAAGGATCCGGTATACAGTCATAAAACCACGGTCGCGGTTAATGCCATAATAAACATTGTCCGACGCAAGTAGCGGGAACGTATTTTGATGAATCACGTACCGAGGGTTAGTAGTGCCACACTATAGTGGCGATGCCACGCATTGTTTATACCTATAGTGTCGAGCTCAGGCACACAATTAATTTGATTTTCTATTGTAATCGATGAGATGAAAATTGATACCAAAAACAGAATACTTCATTACAACTCGACATATCTACCAACTACTGAACTCTAGAAAATTGTACTATTGATAGGTTCATAAATAATTATTCAAACCAGAAATAAAATCGTGTAAAGAATAATAGATTTCTTCGTATATTCCTTTTTACAGCTAGTTTCATAGTTAGATAGACAAAAAGTCGAATTCAGAAGTAGAAAGATGGAGAAGAAATGAAACAGAAAGAACGGAATCAAACGAATAAGAAATAAAGCAGAAGTCATAGAAGGGGAAGATAGAGAGATGGGGAGAAAAGTGAAACATGAGTTGAAAGTAGAGAGAAATGTGGCAGAGGTGAAGGAGAAATAAAAAAGGGAGAAAAAGGACAAACCTAAAAAAGAAAAGAGAGAGAGAATTGAAAGGGGAGAAAAGAGAAACTGAGTAGAGGGAGAGTGACAATGGCTGAGCACACGAGAGCGAGGAAAGGTTTCAACGCATCCACCGCGTATGAACACTGTGACTCTCTTAACACTCTTATCACGTAAATTCAATTGCACCCTCCACGCTGTGCATGCTCTTTTTACATTAAATCTTTGAGCGCATCCTATTGCGTTTAATGTACTTAGCGGAATAACTCGTTCAAAGGAGATGCTTTCAAGCTGCCACCAAGTACATTTTCGATCCTTAATTCATAACGCGTGGAAAAAGACGAGAGAGTTAAAACTGAGCTAACTAAATTTCTCTTGCCTAACGTATTTCGTGCTGTTTACTCGCGCCTCGTCACAGATTCGTTCGGATGCTTTGAAAGATTACGCCAAGATAAATTAAAAATGTTAAGCATTTCTTTCCTCCGTGAAAATACAGTTAGAACCTATGAGAATAACGTGAAGACAATTTTATCGCAATATTTATGAAAAATCAATTATATGGCCTCATAGACCGAAAATTGTAGTGGAACTAAATGCACCATGTACCAACTTTAAATTATAATGTACAGATATGAAACTCGTACGACATTAATTGAATTTTGACCAAATATAGCAAACATGCTTGTAATTTCAATGTTTACATTTGGTATACGATCTTTTTTATTGGTTATATAATTTTCATGATATAGGATAAAAACTGCCTTCGTCATATGGTAGAACGAAAAGCAAAAATTTAAACAGTCTACATTTTGGTATTCTTCATTATTCGAAGAGATCGTATATCAATTGAAGAATATCTTCGTGAACAAGAATTTATTTCTAAATTTATGTCCAAATCAACGAAGAACGAATTTTACAAAGAATATTTACAACAGTTCAAAATAAATTTTTCTACCACTATGTACCCCGGAAGGAAACATCATTATAAATAAAAAAGCATCTTCCAGATAAAGGAACTTATGATATTATAATTTTATTATAGTATCTTCTACTTGTCGATATAGTAAATGATACTTTGTCAGCCTTGCGAGCACAATACAATGTTGATGGACACTATAAATAATTTTCGTATATTAACATTTCCGACCACAACGATCATTTTCAAATCTAGAAAATATTAAATAACTGAATAAAGACAAAATAGTTGAATTATTACTTAGTGAAAGCATTTAAAAATATTTCACCGTTTAGGCTTAAGTTAATGTTATTAAAGGTGAAATTGAAATTGCCAAATGAAAATTGAAAATTGGTAATTGAAAATGACCAATTTTAAACTGACAATTGCCAATTAAAAATTGATAAAGGTAATGGCGATTTTTAACAATTGATTTTTGTTGAATAATTCCAACGAGACGGCCTACTGTCAAGCGAAACTTTAAACCCTTTGCTCTCGAGAGGTGACTCTCGGTTGCCACTAGGTTCGACACAGCACATCAACCAGCAATAATGTTCGCTTAGGTTTAATTTCTTTGGAACACGAAGTGTTAAAAAAATGATTATCGGTGAGGTGAATATAATATTCAAATCTAGAATTAGTTTGCGATCACTAATCGGGCTACATCTTCGAAGTCGACTTAAGCATAGCATTCGTGGAAGTAGAATGCTAAGAAAGCTACTCGAGTTGCTGGTAGATACCAGAAAAAAATGCCTCGAGTGCAGAGGGTTAAGCTTTTGCGGACGGTGGCGTTCGACGAGCGCACGTCTTTGGGCAGCTAGATATTTGCCGACACGGTCCCTGAAGGGTTAATCAGCTCGACCAAACGCGAGTAATTATCAACTAACGTTGTCAAATGTCACAGAAAAGTGCCCCGTGGACGCAGCTTTTGATGCCCGAAGAGAAAAAGAGACGCTATTATGTCAACGAGCATTTCTAAAAAAGTTGCCTACGTAACGTTCCCTTCGTTACTTCAGGATAAACTTCAAACTTCTAAACTATAATTAAATCTCAATCGTTAACGAACGAATATTCGATTCGTCGACCTAATTATCGAGAAAACGCTAGCCTAACTAGTTACCTCGCGAAACGACACTTCGATACAATTATTAATTTCTTTTGTAAACAGAATAATTTTTATGAAATGTTCTCTTATATGAGAGAACGACCAAATTTACTGGCGTGTTTCTGCAGAATTAACAATTACGTGGAACACAAATGCATTGTACACACGCAGAAGTCCACCGACAATACATGGAAATTAACACCGGATGCAGACGAGGCATTAAAAAAAGTCAAGGTTAGTCTGCAATTACATTGTACTATGCTTTAATTGCGCGTATGCATGTATATTGATACTACAATGTACATGCGATAAACGCACCTACATTATCTGAAGGATGGATCATGGAAAAACGTGCGGTATTATGCGAATGAAAAAAAAGATCTCTTGTTATTTGCAGAAAAATAGGCTGGAGACTCCTACCAGGATCGAGATTTGTGCAATTAAGGTTAGTACTCAGTAGTATGTCAAATTAGTGGTATCCAAACGTTTTGAAAGAAACCTTTCCTTAAAAGAAAAACAAAATTACGACGCCCAAGATATATGTATAGACAAACAATTATTACTATATTTATTGTAAATCATTCAATATTAGGTTGTTTGTATTAATCTGAATTGATTGAAAAAATGCTTGAAAAACTCCCGAATTAACGCACGCACGCACGCACGCACGCACGCACGCACGCACGCACGCACG